GGAGAAATAATTAAGCAGAAATTACAGAGGGGGAAACAGAGGACTGCAGGGTAAAGCCCTTAAATTAATTACTATGTCAATTTTGTTTCTACTGCACATATAGCTAATGTCAAAGATGAGGGAGTTTGATTAGAAAAGAGTTTAGTGAGGGATGTGGGAAGACAATGAGGGCAATAGGCACTAAGCAGGTGACTCCATAAGATAGGAGTCAGGAAGGTTGTGGCTGCTCTTCTCCCCAGTCATGTGCCTGCTTGGGGAGAACCAGCCACCTGACATCCCCTGGAGCTGAGAGGGATGGGGAAATTGAAGCTGAGGGAAGTTCTTAGGAAAACTGAGTGCAGCAAGCCTTCAATTTTGTTTGGTGGTCAATTGCTTATTCTATCAAAAAGAAAACTATCTTGTTTCCTTAGGATAAATACTTGAGATTTCTACTTTTATTCTTTAGTTTAAGGTTATATTTTTGTATTTGATCATTTGTTCTTTCTTGTTTAATAGGTTTGTTGAGATAATGCGTGAAAATACAAGTCCCTATTTAAAGTGTACAATTTGGTGTCTTTTAGTATGTTAACAGAGTTGTGCAACCATCACCATAATCCATTTTAGAATACTTTCATCACTCCAAAAAGAAACCTTATACCTCAGAGCAGTCATTCCCCATTTCCTCCCAAACATTCCTAGCCTCTGGCAACCACTAATCTACTTTTTATCTCATTTCATATAAATGGAACATGTGGTCTTTTGTGATTAACTTCTTTCACTTAACATAAGTTTTCAGGATTCATCTATGTTGTAGCATATATCAGTTCTTCATTCCTTTTTATTACCAAATAATATGCTGCTATATGGATACATAATATTTTCTTTATCCATTCTTCAATTGATGGACTTTTGGGTTTCCACTTCTTGGCTATTATGAATAATGCTGCTATGAGCATCCAAGTACAAGCTTTTGTATGGACAGAACAACTTCATTTTTCTTAGATTTATACTAGGAGTAGAGTTGTAGGGTCCTATGTGCTTTTATGTTTAACACTTTGAGGAACAGCCAAACTGTTTGCCGAAATATCTGCACCATTTTAAATTATCACCAGTATTGTATAAGGTTGGAATCTCTTTACATCTTCACCAACACCTATTATTATCTAACTTTTTGAGTATAGCCATCTTAGTGGGTATGCAATGGTTTCTTCACTGTGGTTTTGATTTGCATTTCCTTGATAGCTAATGACGTTGAACATCTTTTCTTGTGCTCACTTGGCCATTTGTATATCTTCTTGTAGGTGTCTATTTAAATTGCCCATTTTTAAACTGGCTATTTTTAAAAACATTGAGTTGTGTGAGCTTTCTATATATTCTGGATATAAATCCATCATCACATATATGATTTGCAAATATTTTCCCTCTTCCTGTGAGCTGTCTTTTTAATTTTCTTGGCATGCTTTTTGAAGGATACTGCTGTTCTTTATCTTTGAACTTTCTAATTTTTTAAATTATGCAAGGAATATTTTTAAATAAAACAATTTCATAACAAAATAATTAGGAAATAACAATGGTTAATATATATGTATTATGATCTTAAAAGAATGGCCAAAATGTTATTCAGAGTACAAGTTATAGGCAAGAAAAGATTCTTACAAAGAAGAAACAAACAAAAAGACAAAACTTTCTTTTCAATGAACACAAGAAACTAGTAACGTAAGTGAAACCAATTAGCATTTATCTTAAAGTATTTTTATGCAAGGAATATATACAATAAAAATCAGAAATTTTTGAGTGATATTAAAAGTAAAAAACAACTATAATCTTACATTCAAAGGTAATCACTGTGAACATTTTGGATTTAGTCTTTATTAAATGAGATCACATTATTCATTTTTTATTTGATCCTTTATAAAACTCATCAGTGTGAATAGCTTTCCATGTCAGCAAATATATTTTTGCAGCATCATTTTTATGTTGCATATTGCATACATTTAATTGGATGGACAGTTTATCCAAACAGTTCCTTATTGTTAGGCTCTTAAGTTGTTACCAATTTTTCATTGTTAAATGAAGTTAAATCTTCATGCATGTCCATGAACACTTTCTTTGGATAGATTTTTATGATAGGATTGTTGAGTCAGAATGTATGCTTTTGGCGGGGGGGGTTAGTGGTGCTGGGATTGAACACAGAGTCTCATGCCTGCTAAGTTTGCCTTCTACTCCTGAGTTACATCCCCTGTATGCACATTTTTAAGGCTATGAAAACATGCTGCTCATTTGCTGTTCCGAAAGACTCTGTCCAGCTATATTCTGCCAGTAGTTTGTGGAAGTAAATCCTTGGCCAAGAAGCTCACCTGGTCCACAAAAACCAAGCAACCAACCAACCGACTAAACAAACAAACAAAAATACTGTTATCAGTTAATAGCAAGAAACACTCACTTTGCATTTATGTTTCAGGCACTATTCTAAGCACTTTATATGTGTTGACACATTTATTCCTTACCGAAAATATAAAATTGATGCCATTTTCTCATTTTACAGATAAAATAATTAAGGGATAGAAAGCCTAAGTAGTTTGCCCAAGGTCACACAGCTAGGAATACAGGGTTTGAATCCTGACAGTCTGGTTCCTGAGTCCTGGCTCTCAACTACCTTGCTTTACTGTTGCTTTTATCTATTCCATACAAAAGTTATGGGCAGAGGTAGCCATATGTACAAATGGTACTTCTAAGCACAATGTTGGCTGTTCCTTTAAAATATTCTTCAAAATGCTAAGAAAACTTCCACCTACTCTTGAGTTTCATTTGACTTTGTTTTTGTTTTACATCTTATATGTCAGGGTTTGACCAACTCTTTGTTAAAGGGCCAGGGAGTATATAGTTCAGGCTTGGGGAACATAAGGTCCCTGGTCACAACTGCTCATCTCAGCCACCAGTGATATTGATATGTAAATTACAAAATTAGGTGGCTGGCCAGTGGGCCAGTGTTCAAACCTCTGTTGTGATGATTGTGTGGATTTTTTCTCCTTAGTCACTGCTACTGAGCTATTCTTGCATGCACGCTGTAATAACTCATCTTGAGCAGGCCAGATCTCCTGCAGCACTCTGTTCATATTTTATTTAAGGTCTCTGGATCTCATTTCAGGAATGAGACTGTGTGTGTGAGGGGGAGGAGGGATTTTTTTTTGTTAGGTTTTGCTTCATTAAAATGAACAGGTACAATTTTCAACTTTTCTATGTTGTGGAGCAAAGGATGATTTATTCTTTGAAAGATTGATAGAACTTTCTGCAAAAGAAACTCTCAGTTGGGGCTGGAGATTTAGCTCAGTGGTTCCGCTGCCTGCTTCATAAGCGCAAGGTCCCGAGTTTGATCCCTGCTACCAAAAAAAAAAAAAAAGAAACTCTCTCAGCCTAATACCATTTTTGGAAGTAGTTCTTTGAGATCTCTTCTACTTTCTTTCATGGTTACTGATCTCTCATGTTTTCTATTTTTTTTTTTTTTTTTCAGTTCTGGAGATTGAACCCAAGGTCTTTGCAATCAACTACATCCCCAACACCCTTGCCTCTTTTAAACAAATTTTGAGACAAGGTCTCACTAAGTCACTTGCCCAGGCTGGGCTTGAATTTGCAATCCTGTCAGAGTCCCAGAGTAAAAGGAGTACAGACGTATTCTACCATGCCTGGCTTTTTTTTTTTTTCTTCACTACTTTTCCATTGATTTTGGGAATTTACATTTTTCCATAAAATCACCACTTTATCTAGATTTTGCAAGATTTTGTCATTGATTTAGGCCTATCTGTTTTTTCTTTTTTCTGTGCTGAGAAATTGAACCCAGACACTCTACCACTGAGCTATATCCCCCCTTATTTGATCTTTTTCTTTCCTGATGGTCTACCTATTTGAAAAAATTAGGTTTCACACATATTTATCTCTTCTGTTGGGCTTTTGATCCCTTGGTCTAGGGTTTAGTTACCATCTGTAATATTTTTCTCCTTTCTAATATATTAATTTTCACTTTCAATTTTCCATGGTTTTCCTAATCTTTCTAATTTTTTGAATTATCAGATTACTTATTTTCATTCTTTTTGTATAAAAGTGAAAACATTAATATTCCTTTGAGTGCAGGCTTGTCTATAACCCTACATTCTGGGGCAAGTGCCTCTCATTGTTGGTATTTTCTCAGTATATATGATTTTAGTTTTGGTTTTCTTTTTGGCTTAGGAAGGTTTTAAGAGTGTGCCTTTAAATTTCTAAAGGACTAGGATTTTAATTTTAAATTCTCATTAATTTCAAGTTTTACTGCAGAATAGTTACAGAATGTGACTGATATGGATTTTACTTATGGGACTTTACTAAGATTTGCCTTGTGGCTTTTTTTTTTCTAAGTGCTTCAAGGGTGCTGGAAAAGAAGGTATATTTTCTGTTTTCAGTTTCTAGAAACTGTGTCTGTCTAGTTTTCAACATCAGTGGTATTAGAGTCTCTGCCTCTTTTTTTTAAAGTTTACTTGATTTTACAACACTAAGGGTCATGTTATGTGTTACCTATAACTCTCGTCTTCCTTTTGTACAAAACATACCAGTTTGTTGCCTCTCTGTGCCTGACTTATGACTTCAAATTTTAAGTATTTGGGCAGGTAAAGAAAATATAGATTTAGGAAGAATCAAACAGCTAAATTAAATTTCATCCTAACAATTTCTGTGTAAGTGTGCATATTTGCCTGTGTGTTCGTTATGTGTCTGTGTATTTTTGTGGGAGTATATGTGTGATTCAGCATATACATCTCCCTCAGGCATGACTGTAAATATATTCTTCTGTGTGGTGGTCATTGTGTTTGATGTGTATGTCTGTATATATGGGTTCATCTACAACACTTTTCTCTTTAAATAAAACTTAAACATCAGGACGAGGAACTGCCTTGTTCTATGCTGTTTTTTTCTGAAGTGGTTATAAGTCAGAAACCTCTGTCTCCCTGAATCTTAACTCATCTGAATCTCTTTTCTCTCTCTCTTGGCTGCAGAAGACCCTCCTGGTAAGTGGGTTCAATAGTGACAGCCTCCCTCTGGCACTCATTCTCTGCTGCATCTAGGGACCACATCTGGCCAAACCAATATGCTAGGACCATACTTCCAGGGTTGCAGAGACTCAGCACCTCCTGCTGCCTTCTCTCCAGTGTGCTTATCCTTGTTCAGGTCCCTTCGCCTGGCTCCAGCCTGTGCTCATCCTTTGCAAGAACCCAAAGGACTTGGCATTGGCTTAAAGGGAGCTGCCATTATTTTCAAAAATTCGATGATAGATATTTAGTTCGTTTTATAGACTTAGTGTAGGCTCCTGGGAGATCTCCTAGCCATGTTCATATAGAGTCTCAGGATGGGCTCTCTGGACACCTTGTTCTTGGCCCTTCCAATTAGACTGGATGCGCTTCAGTGGTGTGAAAGGTACAGACCAAATGCCAGTCCTTGGTGGGTTTCCAGGCAGGCCTAGGTGGCATGACTATCCCATCTTCAGGAAGTTTGCTGACTGCCTGGGCGACAGGGCACACCATTTAGGGAGTATGCCCCCGAGGAGTGTTCTGTTTACAAGAGCTGAGAAACCTGTGGCCATATCTTGTGCAGGGGCATGTGAAAGTTGGGGAAGTCAGTATTTGCTACACAGGCAGCAGGCCCTTCTTGCAATCATAAGTGACTGGGAGAAGGAAAGGGCAAGGGGTGAGTTATCTTAATTTCCTCTCAGCTCATCAAATTCCCCACATTTAGCAGGTCTTTTGAATAAAGGACACTCGGTAAGTATTTGATGCTTTTCAGGGACTGTGCCTTGATTTGACCTTTGGAAATAAAAGTTCTGATTTCCAATGCAGGGGGAAGAAGGCTCGATAGCTCTTTTGGCTCTGAGCTTTCCTATCACCTGTATTTTATTTCATAAATAATGTATTATTGACATTTCTCCCAGACTACCTTAGTGTCTTGGTTACTTTCCTCATTGCTAAAACGAAATACCCAATACCTAACAAAGTTAAAGGAGCTCACAATTTGCAGAGGTTTCAGTCCATAGATGGCTGGCTCCAAGGCAGGGCAGCATGGCAGAGGGACGTGGCTGAAGGGAAACAGTCTGTGGCAGGGCAGGCAGGAAGCAGCAAGCCTGCCTTCTTTCTGTCCCTTTATATTCTATCCAGGCTACAAACCTATTGATTGGTGCCACCCACATCCACTCAGCAATACTCAGAACTATGCTAATCCAACTAGGAGACTAAGCCAGGTATCACACACCCTTAATCTATGTTCAGCCCCCTAGATCCAGTCACCTCTGAAAAGCCCCACCCATGAGCTCACGAGGCTTTGGGGGGGCATGTAGATACAAGCCACAACACCTAAGCACCCTCTGATTTTAGCATCTGTATGTTTTGGCAATGCAGAGGGAACCATGATGATTATGCCTACTTCACAGAAAGGAAATGGGGTTTTGAGAACCTGAAAGAAACACATCCATGGGGGCAAAGCAGAGTCTTTGCCTCTCAATACCTGCCTAGATTTGAAACCTCCTCCAGTCTGTGTAGCCTTTGCCCTTTGAGAGGCGGGGGATTTCAGGTCCCTGCTACCCTAGACTTACCCGGCAGGTAAGCCTTGAAGTCCAGGCTGGCTCAGCAGCCTTGGGAGATGTTCCCTTCAGAAGCACCTTGCTTCTTAAACAATCTCTTTATTTCTCCCAGGAGGAAGAGTTCATCGACTGGTGGAGCAAATTCTTTGCTTCCATAGGGGAGAGGGAAAAGTGTGGCTCCTACTTGGAGAAGGATTTTGACACTCTAAAGGTGAGTCCTCTCTCCAGAATAGTTCCTTTCAGTCTAGCAGTCACTGGGCACCTGTGCTGGCCATGGGAGATGCAGCAGAAAGAGAAGGTGTGGGGCTGATACATCCTGATGAACACATTAGGGTGAGAAAAATCAACCATTGATTTGGACCAAGAAGTCAATGTGGGCTAGGATAACTAAGAAAGTATTCGTGGGTGAAGGTTTAAAGATACTGAAGAGTTTATAGGTGAAATGATGCTTTGGATTTGGTTTAATATACCCCTTTACTCGCGCTCCCAAAGTAGAGAAAGATATATGGTACGGGTGACCCTCTGATGGAGTTTTAAAATACTAAAAAATCATTTAAAGTTGCAAATCATTGAATATCGTTAATCTTGAAGATAGGTACCTAGGGATTGGTAGCACTTTTTATTAGCTGAACTTTTTATGTAATAGAAAATTTGTATTAATATAAAAAGTAAAGTCAGTTTGAAAATGTACTTCTGATCCTTAACTACTATAAATGAGAAAGAAGTTACTTAGCAAAGGGCTGGGGATTTAGCTCAGTGGTTCCGCCGCCTGTCCCATAAGTGCAAGGACCTGAGTTCGATCCCTGGTGCCAAAAAAAAAAAAAGTTACTTAGCAAATATGAAAGTATGATAAGTCTTTTTTCTGTAGATAAAAATAGAGACAGGTCAGCCAAATTGGAGGAAATTCTACAAATACAATTATACTTTAAAAAAGTAGACTACATTTAACAAAGATGACCAAAGGCGACTCAAAAATTGTTCCCACAAAGGAGTTGGAAAGGCTCCCTTATAGTGTTGTCAGATAAAATTCAGAGTGCCAGGTTATATTTGAATTTTAGATAAACAAAGAATGATTTTTTAGTATAAAGGTGTCTTAAATATTGTGTGAGGCATAAGTACAGATACCTAAAATTATTTATTTATCTGAAGTTCAAATGTGATGTCTTATATTTTTGCTTGCTTCTTCTAGAGTACGAACAAGAATCATGGAATATAAATGAGAGAGATTCTGCACTCCATGCTTAGCCCCAGACTTGGACAGGAATGAATGAGTGGTGGGCACAGGCTTTTTAAGTCCAGGGGAAGGACCTAAAGAGCTTGGAGCTCCTTAAAAGGGGATGGATAAGTGAGGGATGAGGCCAGTTGAGGCAGTGGGTGGCCTGGGCTTTCAGCTGATTCTGCTGAATGAAAGGCCTGGGTGAAGATTGGTGGATGATTTCACAAGGTGGAAAATATCTCTCATACTTTGGAGTCTGCTTAGTAAATTGTCCCTGGAGACCTGGCTGCTCAGGGTTGAGGCCACAGGCAGCAGCAGTGGCTCCTCAGGCATTAAGCTCTTCATTGACTTCCTAGTGTGAGGCTGGGCAAAAAGACAGACAGAACTATTTGTGTAGCAGGAAGAAGGTCCGACCCATTAAGTCTGGCATATGGTACTGCAGCCTTGCCAAAAAATGAGACAAACCAAGCAAGTATGAGGACTGCTGCCAGGGTGGCCCATGGCCCTGGCCCCTTGCTGCTCTCTAGGATGCCGGATGCTGAATTGGCACCCAGCCCTCTAGCTTGACCTCTCCAAGGAGGTCTCCAATAGCATCCAAGTAAAAATAGGCTATCCAGAGCAAAAGGCATTCAAACTATTTCTGGGGGAAAAATTAGACCTGGAAGGAACACTGGTCCTTTAAGGATAAGTAAATAGAAGAAAACCACCACCACCACACCATCATGGGTCTTTGAAAAATAGCCTACAGGATAATGGAGTGAACAGAATACACAATGGGTATAGAAAGACACATTTTGGAAATCACTAGCATAGAGGAAAAAAACCCAATGCATAGTCTAAATAGCAATATAAAGCAAACAAAAGATTAAACAAAAAAAATTAAAAACAGAAATCCTAGAAAAAATAGTAGAAAAAGAGCAAAACATGTTAGTTATCTTAATAAACAAAAATGGATTAAATGTTTCTGTTAAGTTGTAAGGATTCTTAGACTTTAAAAGACATCTAAATACAACTTAGAAAGGCTAAAAAATAAATACTTTGGCAAATAAAATAAGGTAACTAAATAAAAAGGAAGCATATAGAATTTAAAGTAAAATTCAAAATAAACAAAAGACTGTTTTATGTAAGTAAAAGATATGCATTACAATGAAAAGGCTCCCAAAACTTGGAAATCCTTTAAGGCAAAAAATACATAGGAATATATAAACTAATACCTCATACAAATTACGGCACAAAATGCAGAAATTAAAATTGAAGTGGGGTTTCAATTTTACTTTCTCTTTGACTAGTCAATAAATAAAGAAGAAAATAAAAGATCTGAATAACTAGGTAAATATTTTGAAAGTTATATCAAAGTTGCAGTGTTACATGAAGCTAAAATTGTAGCTTTAGGTAGAGAATTAAAAAAGAAAATAGAGAATACATTGTTTCCCCTGGTACTCAGAGAACACTTACAAATTTGGTCACATATTAGTTTAGTAAGTTACCAAAAGCAAAAATCATACAAGACAGATTAAAATGCAATAAAATGAAAAATTAATAACAAAAGTTTAAACAAAAAGTCCACCCAGCTGGAAATTTAAAAGTATTTTATTAGGACTTCCAGTATGGCCATGCTGCATAAGTCAGCATTTTTTCCTTTTACTCTTGGAGATAATTCAAACCCACAGAATCCATTTTTCAGAAAAGTTGGAAATAAATAAAAGCTACAGGATCCAAAATATAAGAAGGGCTGCCCAAGGACAATTGAGATTGGGTTGAGGCCACTCAGCAGTAAATGAAGAGAAGATGCATGAAGGTTGCTGGAAGCTCATGGGGCAGTGGGTTGTAGAAAGCCCCAGTGGAAATATACTTTCAAGTGGAAGAATGCTGATAATTATTTAAGACAGGTGATGGTTACATGGAAGTTTATTATCCATTTTCTTTACTTTTGTACATTTGAAAATTTTCATAATAAATAGTTTCAAACTACAGTTCTTAAAATTGAGGTTGCACCATGAAATATGAAAAGTTAATCTTGTTGTTTTCAACATTGGTTGCGGGGTGTTTGAAGGCAGGTTCAAGCAGATGACAGAGCCTCCTAGCCTTGGTTTGATTCAGAAAAATCTAAGAAGGCGGAGCTACCCAGAAATTGCATGAAAGAGCCATAGTTGTAGGAAGCAGTCTGTCTCTGTGGTGGGAACAAAGGAAATAGTTAGCTTAGGAAAAATCCAGCTCATTTACTGACAAGTCATAATAAAAGAAATGGCACTGCATTAATTTAAAAATTGGATAAAAAACAAAGAAGGAAAATAGAAATCAAAACTTTCCAATAGAAGAAGATATATGCTGACCAGAAAAATCTTCACAAAGAACAAATGAAATGAAATGAAATGAAATGTTTTGCTGTAAACTTTTTAGAAACAGGACTATAAGAATACAAAAACCAAAGTGAAAAAGCTCAAGGGATGGTGAGTGGAGATGATCTATGAACTGATAAGATGTGGGGGATGAAAGAGAAGAAAACACGAAATAGGTAGGAACATTGGGAAGAATGCACATGGAAAACATTTGGGGGCATACTGAACAGAAATGATAAAAGTAAGCAAAATGAAATGGAAATGAAAAAATTATAAAAGAATGAAGAGAAAATGACAGATATTGAAGTCAGGGAAAGGAGACCTGACTTTTGCATAAGTGGAGTCTCTGTGGAAGACAACAAAAACACCGAAGAAAGACAAATAAGAATATAATTGTTTAATCAAATTTCACTGGAAGGAAAAAATATTTGAATATACATTTGAAAAGGCCCACTGTGTATGAATTGACCCAGATGGATTTACCTGAGAAATATCCTAGAATAGTTACCTTATTTGAGAGATGAAGAAAGAATATCTTGAGTAGTTGTACCTCCTTTCTGGGAAATAAACCCAAGTCATTTAAAATACGAAATAAATCAAGGTGGCTTAAATTTCTTCATAATATTCCATATTCAAGGACCATAAAACATCACATGTAAGATCATCAAGGAAACACAGGGAGACCTGAGGATTTTACATTCAGCCAAGTTACCCTTCAAGCATAAAGGCTACAGTCAGCCACTTAGGCACTTCAGGAACTACAGTTACATGGTGCCTGTGAGCTCATCTCGAGAGATTGCCCAGGGGATGAACTTTAGTCACTAGGAAGTAACTGGGAAAATCACAACAAAAAGGCTGGTTGTGGCCATATTTTACCTTAGAACCAACTCAAAAACAAATGAAAGATGAGAGTAATAAGACAGAATGCAGATATCATAAATACTAAATATATATCATAAATACTAAATATAAATATATACTATAAATGATAAAACTGATAAAAAGTAGGGGGAGGAGGAAAGAAGATGAGATATAGAAAAAGAACATCAATTTTCATATTATAAAATAAACAGTTGACAATTTTTTTAAAACATTGGCAGATCACAAAGTAGGAACATAAGCAACTATTAAGCGAATAGTATAAAGATAAAGCTTAAGGGAGATAATATTGCCTAACATGGGGTGGATTTATGATACACTCTAATATCTTGTACCCCAAAATACTTCCCCTAAATATATAAAGATTAACATTATATAAATAATATAAATTTATATTATGAAATATATAATATAAAATAATATAAATTTATAGTACTAGAACATAAGACTAAGGTTAACAAACTTGTCATATCAATACATGCAATATCTGTCACTTATGAAGTTTAAATAAGATCTCAAAGCAATAGCTAACTTTAGAGATTTACGAAGATAAAAAAATTTTAAAAATTGAGAAAATGTGTGCAAGGCACACGTAAATGAAAAGAAAGCAAAAGCTACTATGTTAATACTAGATGAGAGGGTTTGAAAACTTGGAAGTTTCTAAGATTAAAAGAGACAAAAAGGGCCGGGGGTTTAGCTCAGTGGTTCCACCACCTGCCCCGCAAGCGCAAGCACCCGAGTTCCATCGCCAGTACCAAAAAAAGAGACAAAGGACAG